TCATTGTGTATGGTCTGTCATTGGCTTGGAATAAACGTTACCACACAACCTTCTGCTTTTTACCTCATTAATTAATTCAAGTGACCAGTTCAAGAGACTTTTTGGCTTCCATGTCTCCGGCGCTGTCTGTGAAGCCCAGCTGCGCACCACTTCAGATGCCTCAAGCCAGCAATGACCTTTCAAACTCTGGTTTTCAGCTCAGAAAATGTCTCAAAGGAAAAACAAAGCTGGCTCCCCTGACAGAGACCTGGCAGCGCTTGTGGATGGGTGGTGGAGAGGACAGCAGTCTTCTTCCTTTTCCCTGCTGACCATCAACAGAAAACATCCCAACAAACCCAGCAAGACATTGCAGACTGTGTCCTTGCAGTGTCCCAGGTGAATAGGGATGCCTAGCAATGCTGCAGGGAGGTCAATGATGATCTGCGCACAGATAATTACTGACTTGTTTTTTGCCGCCTCAATTTCCAAGGCAAAGACTCTCTCTAGTTGTGCCACTGCGTCTCACCAAGGCTGGGGGACTGCAACCCTCAGTATTGCCTGCATCATGTCTACTCAAGAACTCTCACCTACCTCATCCTTCCAGATTGCTAATCATTCCTGCCTCCAGCACCTCCCACTCACTCAGAGACAATCCTTCCCTGCCTCTCCTACTCATGGCATCACTGCTAAATGCTCTTCCATCCGCTGTCATCATACTCAGCCTTTGTCTCATTTGGAAAAACTGGCCTACCTACCGCACTGGTGTGTCTCAGCAGCACTGTGACAGATTTGCCTGTAATCCTAGAGTGGGTTTTACTGGACAGGCAGGGCTGGATGCAACCAACCCCAGCTAATCCAATCAGATGAGACCCTTGACTAACTGTGGCTGACCGCACCTTCCCTTGACTCAACTTAACATGCTTCTCTTTTGACTTTCATACGTTGTCATTGGCTTGAAATGTGTACAGCGTGCTTGCTTCATAAGCTGTTGGTGCCTGCTGTAGCTCTGACTTTGATGTAGCACACTGTGATATCTCTACCCCCATGTCTAACTAACAGATTGTTTATTCAGTACCCCCACCTGCATGAGCCTCAGTGTTAAAAAGCAATCTAACCCACAGAGGCTGGCAGCCTGTAACTCAGTGCTAAAGTCTGTGAGCACGAAGCAAGTAGGCAGCCAAGAGATGGGTTCTCAAAAGCATTCTGTGCTGGTGCAGGAGATGCGTGGCTGTCCCTTGTGTGTATATGACCTGGTGAAGCCACCAAACAGGACTACTTGCATGCCAAACAACATAAGCAGCAAGTGATGGACAGAGCTAAGCGATCCCACAAGCAAAGGACCAGATTTACGTTCTGCAGTCCTGCCGCATCCAGTCGTGAATGGTGGTGGACAATTAAACAACTCACTGGAAGAGGTGGCTCCACAAATATCCCCATCCTCAATGACGGAAGAGCCCGGCACATTGGTGCAAAAGGTAAGGCTGAAGCATTCGCAGCAATCTTCAGCCAGAAGTGCCGAGTGGATGATCCATCTCGGCCTCCTCCAGTGGTCCCCAGCATTACAGATACCAGTCTTCAGCCAATTCGATTCACTCCATGTGATATCCTGAAATGGTTGAAGATACTGGATACTATAAAGGCTACGGGCCCTGCCAACATTCCGGCGATAGTACTGAAGACTTGAGCTCCAGAACTTGCCGCACCTGAAGCCAGGCTGTTCCAGTACAGTTACAACACTAGCATCTACCCAGCAATGTAGGAAATTGGCCAGGTATGTCCTACGTGTAAAAACCTGAACAAATCCAATCCAGCCAATTACCGCCTCATCAGTCTACTCTTGATCATCAGTAAATTGATCAGTAAAGTGTCATCAACAGTGCTATCAGAAGCATTTGCTCAGCAATAACCTGCTCAGTGACGCCCAGTTTGGGTTCCGCCAGAGCCACTCAGCTCCTGACCTTATTACAGCCTTGGTTCAAACATGGACAAAAGAGCTGAATTTCAGAGATGAGGTGAGAGTGACAGCCCTTGCCATCAAGGCTGCATTCGACCGAGTGTGGTATCATGGAGCCCTAGCCAAACTGGAATCAGTGGGTATTAGGGGGGCAAACTCTCTGGTGGTTGGGGTCATACCTGACACATAGGAAGATGGTCGTGGTTGCTGGAGGTCAATCATCTCAGCTCCAGGACATCGCTGCAGGATTTCCTCAGGGTAGTGTCCTCGGCCCAACTGTCTTCAGCTGCTTCATCAATGACCTTCTTTCCATCATAAGGTCAGAAGTGGCAAAGTTTGCCAATGATTACACAATGTTCAGCACCGTTCACGACTCTCAGATACTGAAGCAGTCCATGTTCAACTACAACAAGATCCTGAGAAATCAGGCTTGGGTTGACAAGTGGCGAATTACATTTGCACCACACAAATGCCAGACAATGACCATCACCAATAAGAGACATTCTAACCACTGCCCCTTGAAGTTCAATGGTGTTGCCATCACTGAACCCCGCATTATCAACATCCTGGGGTTCCCAATGACCAGAAATTCGACTGAACTCACCAAATAAACACAGTGGTTACAAGAGCAGGTCAGAAGCTAGGAATACTGCAGTAAGTAACTCACCTCCTGACTCCCCAAAGCTTGTCCACCATCTACATCGTAAAAATGAATCACAAAAGTTGGTTTGCAGGTGCAGCAGGTAATTAATAAGACAAATTGAATATTGTCCTTTATTGCTAGCGGGATGAAACTTAAAAACAGGAAGGTTACACTGCAGCCGTATAGGGTGCTGATGAGGCCACACCTGGAATACTGTGTACAGTTTTGGTCTCCTTACTTGAGAAAGGATGTACTGGCATTGGGGGCTGTGGGGTGTGCAGAGGAGGTTCACAATGTTGATTCTGGAATTGAGAGGGTCGCCTTATTAGGAGAGATTGAGTAGACTGGGACTATACTCATTGGAATGTAGAAGGATGATGGGGGGCTCTTATAGAAACATATAAAATTATGAAGGGAATAGATAAGATAGAAGCAGGGAGGTTGTTTCCATGGAAGTGAAATTAGAAATAGGGGGCATAGCCTCATAGTAATGGGGAGCAGATTTAGGACTGAGTTAGAAAGAACTTCTTCACCCAAAGGGATTGTGAATCTGTGGAATTCCCTGCCCAGTGAAGCGGTTGAGGCTGTTCTGATGTTTTTAAGGCAAAGATAGATTTTTGAACAGTAAAGGGGTTAAGGGTTATGGTGAGCAGGTAGGTAAGGGGAGCTGAGCACATGAAGAGATCAGCTATGATCTTATTGAATGGCAGAGCAGATCTTGATGGGTCAGCAGCAGTGTGTACTAACTACAAGATGCACTGCACAAGTTCACCAAACATCCTCAGTCAGCACCTTCCAAACCCATGACCACTTCTATCTTGATGGCCGAAGGCAACAGATACATGGGAACACCACCACCTTCAAGTTCTCCTCCAAGCCACTCACCATCCTGATTTGGAAATATATCACCGTTCCTCACTGTTGATGGGTCACAATCCTGGAACTCCCTCCCTAATGGCATTGTGGGTCAACCCATAGCAGGTGGACTGCAGCGGTTCAAGAAGGCAGCTCACCACCACCTTCTCAAGGAGAATAGGGATGGGCAATAAATGCTGGCCAGCCAGCGACACCCACATCCCACAATGAATTAAAAAAAACACCTGGCAGAAACATGAAAGTTGGAGGTGCTCCGTCAGCTCCAAGTGTTGAAGGCCTGAGGTGGTGTCTGAGTTGCTGCAAGGTGTGGTGAAGTTGGTAGTTTGCCCATGTAAAGTTGTGTGGATGAAGGAGCAAAGAGGATGGTGGCTCTGGAGCATGCAATGACGTTGTTATGAAAGAGCACTAGCAATGATAGCCAGGTAAGGCATTTGGTGAGCTGCAGTTGCCATGTACCCATGTGGTTTTACCGATTGGGAATTGGTGCTGTCTGTTTTTGCCATTACCCTTGTCACACTAGGGATGAGAAAATTCTGCCCCTCAACTTCTGATAACTTGTGAAATACTCTTAATTGTGTTATTGTAAGGTAACATGCTTATTTTGGCTTATTTATTTTATCAAGAGCAAATTTATGAAAGACTTTTACAATCACCAAAAGAACAACAGAAAAGTTAGTTTTTAATGTGAAGGAATACAATAGACAACTCCCTTGCTCTTCTGAAAACTAGTACCCTGCAATCTTTTACATCTACCTGATAGGACAAATATAGCCTTGGTTTGAGATCTCAATGAAAAGGCAGCATCAGCAATCAATAGTGCAGCATGATCTCAGTATGACATTGAAGTGTTAGTTCAGAGATCTCCTCTCAAGTTGTTGGAGTGTGATAATGAACTGACTTCTCACTCCAAAGCAGGTATGATACCGACTGAGCCACAGGATTTTGGGATGTGGAATGTCCAGTAGGAAACAATGATGAAAGGGAGGTAGCAAAATAGTTTAAAAAGGATGCGGAATATGGATGTCAAAGTGAATCAGTATATCAGAGAGCTGGAAAAGGTGCAATGGAACATGTGGCTGATTCCTGTCTTGTAAAATTACACCGTTCCATGAGGGAGAGAATCAACTGTAAGTAATCTGTTTTCAATGTGTCAGAAATCATGAGGCTTTTATTAGAGAACTGCACCATGGTGTCCTTTGGATGCTCAGAACTCACTGCTTTGAATCAGATAAGTCATAGAATTGTAGAGGTCTACAGCACAGTCTCTCAAAAACCACCACTTACTTCCAGTTGCTAACTTCTTTCAGACTCCAGTCTGACATCAGTCTTTAGATGGAGCAACTGTGCTGTCGACTTGATGGTCAGTTTGGACAAAAGCAGGTTTTTTCCCCTGCATTCTGATGCAGTTCTGAAATTGAATACATACCATCAAGGTAAACATCGGTCTGTTGTTCTTCATTGTTCTTCATTGGCTGTGGAAGATCAGTTTCTTCATGGATTTTTTTTGTGAACATGCTTTGTTTCTTTAATGCACATCTTTGTTCTCAGGTGGGGAAGACAGGAGCCTATCTTCAGTTCCTTGGTATTTTATCGAGAATGTTGATTCGATTGATGGAGGTAGATGTTTACGATGAAGAAGAAATTAACCTCAGTGAGTGCTTACTTTGTTCTCCAGGTAGACTCTGGCATGATCTTTACAGTGTATCTATAATCATTAGTAATAATAACATGCATTTCTTGTCTGTCACCATTAAAGTTTCAACTTGTTATGTCATACTTCAAAAACCATATTTGATACAGAAGTCAGGCATGTGTATCCTCTCTGTGACCTTGGCATTCAATATATTTAAGGAAATTAGCTTCACATTAGAAGCAGAGTGACACATCTGTGTTACACAGGGCAGAATTTTACAGCCCCCCTCTCACTCGCTGCAGGAGCACCTTGTTTTGCAGGAGGGTTGCCCATGGGTGACCTTCCTGCTCTCCTGTCACCAGCCGCTGACTGTACTATGATTTTATGTGAAGCGGGCAAGGCTTAGAGAGTGACAAATTGAGGTCCCTAAGTGACCAATCAATGATCAGTCAAAAGCTCCTTCCATCTTGTTGCTGAAGTGTTTTAGCTGTCAGGAAAAGATTGGCATGGGAAGGTGGGTGGGTGGAATCTTCCACCCCTTTTGCGATCGAGGTACTCCCACTTCCTGTTCACCTCCTGGGTAAATTGAGAAATGTACTGTATTTGTGAAGGTGTTTCGCTCGCTCAATGCTCAAGTCAGTATTGGGTATCATGGCTTTGTACCTCCATTGTCTAGCAATCCACTGTGATCTGTTGTTGAACTACAATGAGAAACTGGAAGGTGGCTATTGGGTGACACAAACTGACTGCTTCGCTCAAGAATCTGCTGTACAGCTCACGCAAGTGGGCTGCCTTTGTACAATGAGAGGTATGCAGCCATATAAAGTATCATTGGAGCAACACATTCACTGCCTCAATCACTCTGGAGGGGCAAAATGTTCTTGCTTATTTTTATTTTATCTTTTAGAAGCCAAAGAAGATGCTTCCCTGCAACTGAAAGAGAGCTTACTGTGGCCTCATTTGGAGAGTTTCAGTAAATTGTTATTTGATTACACTGTTCACGATCCAAAGTATGAAGATGCAAGTCCAGTTTACTCAAGGGATCTTGCAAATAACAAAGGTTAATTCTTTTTTCATTTAATTGAATTCTGCCAATGCGTAACCATTAAAAATAATGGTAATCAGAGATGGTAAAGGTGGGACTAAAGGCCACTGTTTGTAGGGTAACCATGGTACTGCATACAAAACATTTAAAAGATCTGAAAATGAATTCTAGCCTGTAATTCCTGTGGTGTTAATTAAGGTTAGCACTGGAGTAAGAACTATGCCTCTGCTGATGTAGTTTTTGTTGTATTTTGTAAGCTTATCAAAATTAATGTTTGAAGGAAGGTGGCCCAGCAAGTGAATTGTATAAAGGCATAGAGTCATACAGTTGTGCAGCACTGAAACAGACAGTCCAGTACAACTCATCAATGCTGACCAGATATCCTAAATTAATCTAGTCCCATTTGCCAGCATTTGGCCCATATCCCTCTAAACCCTTCCTATTCATGTTCCATCCAGATATCGTTTAAATGTTGTAATTGTAGTTCAAAAATAAATTACAGTACAATAAATAAATTTTAGGCCATCAACTTGCAATTGGCACTCAAAAGAGCTGGATGTTTCAAATAAATAGGACTGGGAGATGCAAATAGCAGGTTCTGGTCAACAAAATTTGTATTATATACTAATTGCACTAAATCGAAAGTTTATATGACATAATCCCATCTCATTGCCTTTCAAATAGATCTTCTGTGGTCTCTTGTGGGTTTTCCAGTTGCCTGAAATCCAAGACTGGAAATGTCACTTAACTTTCGGCATCTCATCGTTCATTAGATTTTTAAGATGAGAATGCATGCTGGTGTTTTTAAGTGGGAAGTAGCAGATCTCAGGATAAGGAATTGTAGAAAATTAAGTGATTATGGCCTAAATATCCTTTTCACTTCAATTTTCATCACAATTACTGTGTACTCCTAGTTATATACTATTACAAGTGTTGTGGTTGTTCCACAAATTTGCATTCCTAAAATGGAGTCTTCCTGCTTGGGGTGCATGCCCAGAATTTGGAATCAGTGATTTGGACTGAATTGCCTTTTAATTAAATGAATAGATAAAAGTAGCCACTCCTACTTTTAATGAGCTTAACAATGGACAGCCGAATTAAGAAAACCTATCCCCATGTTTCTGCATGTTGCTTACCTAAGTTTCCTAACTTAACAGGATATAAAGCTCATAAGAAAGAAGGTGATATCTATCTGCGACGCCAAACAACTCGAATGAGGTTGTCCAAGTATGCTGCCTATAACACATACCACCACTGTGAGCAGTGTCATGAATACATGGGTTTCAATCCCAGATGCCAGGTAAGTGTATTGTTGTCTTGAAATTCAAACAGTAAAGACACATGCCATGATTTGAGGTTACTCTACAAACTTTCTTCTTGTTCGCAAAGAGGTCCAATGATATAAGTAAGCTGAGGCTCTACATAAAGCAAAGATAAATTGACATGTAGCATGCCCCATTTCTATCAGATAGTAGGTAAGGGTAAATTGCATGCTTATTTGGAAGATTGACTTTCCCAGTCAATTTCTGTCAAAACAGTATTATCAGACGCATTTATTTGTAGTTGTAATTTATAGGAGCAATGGCACGGGTAAGCTTTTGAATGAATTAACATGCATTAGGTTGAAGTCAGTTCACAAAGGTTTAACCAAGCAAGCAGATCAAGTGAAAACCTTTTAAAATCTTCCTTTTAAAAGTCATTTTCAGAATCTGATCTATCTGATAGAATCCCACAGTGGCTGCAGTATTTATCTAGTGGTATGTGTAAGAAATCACCATTGCTAACAGACAAATAGGAAGGGCTGGATTTTAGAGTGGGAAAGTTGTCAAGCATGCACTTGAGAAATATGTAGGAGGCTCCTCAATAAGTTGCTGGTGGGACAGCAAGTACGTACGAAACTTGTCCGTTAGCAGCAGGGACCTCAGATACTTTTAAAATGCATTTTACATGTAATTAATGATTTAATGCACCCTCCCTGATTTAATGAAACTGACATGAGTCTTTCATTACCTTCTCATTGAACGCTGGCACCTTATATGTGGCTTGCCTGGCTCATTATGAGAGCTCCTTTGACTTCGGGAAAGTGGAATCACAGGAAGTTACATTATCTTTGGAGAGTTTTCACTGCTGAGACCTGATGATCTGACACTTTGGGGGACAGAATCTGTGGTAGGACTCGGCCAAAAATATTAGTTTAAAAAAGTGAAGAGGCAGCATTTTGACGAGAGACAACATGGATAGTATCTGTTGTTGGAATATTTTTGCAGTTTTTCAACAAGATGGGCATAAAGTGGTATAAAGAATTATTTCCTCTCCATGCTACAATCAGTTAAGAACTAATTTCACAATTTTGTTTTATCTGTTAGCCGTACGATTCCACACTCCATGCCTTCACCTTTTCCTGCTCGATGCTGGGAGAGGAAGTTCAGCTCCATTTTATTATTCCCAAATCAAAGGAACAAAATTTTATTTTCAGTCAACCTGGAGGCCAGTTGGAAAGTATGAAGCTGCCACTTGTTACCGACAAGGTGAGAAATTATTTTGGGCTCTTCACAGATAAACAATTTTATTTCCATTTCTTGTACTAATGATGAAGAGTTGGCTGAACCAAGAACAGTTGACTTTTTTTTAACAATGCATGACCTTTAGCTAACATTTGCAGGCATTAGTCTCATTTCTGTAAAAGTGCCTGAGGGTAGCAACTGTAGACTGAGGCCATAGAGTTGTACAGCATGGAAACAGGCCCTTCAGTCCAACTTGTTCATGCCGACCAGATATCTGAAATTAATCTCATCCCATTTATCAGCATTTGTCCCATATCCCTTTTAACCCAATGATTTTGCTGAGTACCTGTAAATTAAAACACTGTAGCTTTGTTTTACCCTGTTCTGTTTGGACAAGAGCTAACAGCCTACAGGATATGTGTATGTAGTTTAGTTCTGTGGCAGTTTTAACATTTTCCATCAGATTTTTGATTTCATTTCTAGTTTTCTGTATGTGCCAGGCATCTAACACCCATGAAGTGGTTTGTCAAGAAGGCAAGAGCAGTAAAGAACAGAGTGGGAAGACACTGCTGGTGCCAGTTATAACAAAGTTCAGTTGAAGTGGCTATTATTTGTAATTGTTTTAATGGAAGGGGTAAACATAAATTAGCTCTTGCTGAAAACAGATAGGAACCCTGTAGATCTGGGTTGTTTTTTTAAAAGACCTGTACACGGGAGAAATGATCTATGTTGTTAAAAATGATTTCCATAAAAAAGTTTCAGTTCCTCCAGCTGGAAATGTCTGGGTGCTGCTGATCATCTTGCATGTCAAAACCACAGGACATTTGGTGCTATTTCATTAATTCTGGAAACTACTATTTTTCCCTTTTATGTCCTCCTACATGGAAATTGAAAACAGATTCACCCATTGTGATTTTAAGCAGATGAATTCTTATTGGCAACAATGGATTGGGCCTTTCTTGCAGCAGGTCAAACTACTCTGTTGTTTGTCACTTTTGTTTGTATTTTACACTGGGGATCGTTTAGCCCAGTTGGCTAATTGGCTAGTTTGCGATATAGAGGATGCCAACAAAGTGGGTTCAATTCATGTACCAGCTGAGGTTATCATGAAGGTCTCTCCTTCTCAACCTCTCCCCTCTTGAAGCTTGGTGACCGTCAGGTTAAGCCATCACAGTTGTCTCTCTCTAATGAGTGAACAGCCCTATGGTCCAGTTTACCTTTTATTTCACATTTTTTGTGAGAAATAAGCTAGCTGCCAAACTGGAAGTGATGAGTTTTTAATTGCGCTCATTTGAAACTACCTGACCTTGATCCTGGTTTCGTTCGGAGTTGATTAATTCATTGAAAAGATTTGAACTTCAAAGCCACAGAGGGAGAATAAAATCTCTGCACACCATCATTTGACTAGTCTTACTGTCAATTTGTCAGTAATATTGTAAGTGGTACACATTGCTTTTTGCTGCATCACACATGCTATAATTCTTAGGAAAATACATGGTCAGATTCTGGACTGGAATCAACTTGGTTTATCGAGAGAAAAAATAGTTTCTGATGATGTTCCATGAGCAATGTGGTTGCAATTTAATTGGAAGGACTTCAAGTTTTAGAATATTTTGACACCTTCCCTGCCAATGTCTATTTGCCTAGGAATGCCACAGAGTCAGAGAGGTCTACAGCACAGGACCCTAATCCTTTGGCCCATTGAATCTACCCTGGTCAAAAATAACCAGCTAAATGTTCTCATCCCATCTTCCACCACTTGACCCATAGCCTTATATGCCTTAGCATCGCAAGTGTACATCCGAATACTTCTTCAATGTTATGAGGGTTTCTGCTGAGTGAATGGTGAGATTTCAACTGTTTAATTTCACATGTAAGGTAAAGGTGGATGTGAGAAACAGCCCCGGGTTTTCTAGGTTTGTGCAGTTGTGAAGCTGAATTCAGTTAAAAAAACTTACAAATCAGTTGCACAATATTCAGGATAAAAAAAAATTTAAAGCATCAAAGCTTTTAAATACTAATCTAATATTTACTAATCTAATAGGGGCGGCACAGTGGCTCAGTGGATAGCACTGCTGCCTCACAGCGCCAGGAGCCCGGGTTCAATTCCACCCTCGGGTGCCTGTCTGTGTGGAGTTTGCACATTCTCCCCCTGTCTGTGTGGATTTCCTCCAGGTGCTCCGGTTTCCTCCCACAGTCCAAAGATGTGCAGGCTAGGTGGATTGGCTGTGCTAAGTTGCCTGTAGTGTTCAGGGAGGTGTAGATTAGGTGGGTTACAGGGGGATGGGTCTGGGTGGGATGCTCAGAGGGTCAGTGTGGACTTGTTGGGCTGAAGGGCCTGTTTTCCACACTGTAGGGATTCTATGATTCTTGGCAAATTGAAGCTTTAATGTATTGAATCGCAGCCTGACAATTTAAAACATCTGATTTGTCCCAGAATTCAGACTGTATAAAGAGTCCAATCTTCACACCTACAACTGGGCGTCATGAACATGGTCTCTTCAATCTGTACCATGCTATGGATGGTGCCAACCACCTGCATGTGCTGGTGATCAAGGAGTATGAGATGGCAGTCTATAAGAAATATTGGCCAAACCACATCATGCTTGTTCTGCCCAGCATCTTCAACAACTCTGGAGTTGGTATGTTTTAAAATGTTATTTCAAGCAAATTTCTTTTGCCTTAATTTAACAATTCTGCAAAATCACAGCTGGTAAATGCTGCTTATCAAATTTAAAAAGCACTTTGAAGTAAATCCACAAAGACTGGTATCCCATCAGCCTTTATTTACATATGGAAAGTCCTTGACTCTAGTACAACCTCACCAGAGTTAACTCCAAGCGGCAGGGCATCTGACACTTCTGTTTATATCTGTCATTCAAGGCTCCCTGATTAGACCCTACTGAGTCTGAGGACATAGGCTGGTTCTTTTTCTTGTTTAGCACTGGGTCAGGTTCCTCCAACTCTGCCTTGGATACAGGTTGTGTGTAACCCACAGTAGCTCGCCTATTTTGCCTGGCAAAGGTGTTGAGGTGGGTGGCGACATCCGCCATGTCTACCTCAGATTCCGAGATCTCTTCAGCGCTTGACTGAGAGGGAGAACCTATGTGTTCCGCCAGCCTTCGAACTGTACGAAGGAGCCAGGCACATTTTGCTCCTGCCCTGAGCTTTCAGCTTTCATATGGTGCACATGCTTGTTTAGGCCCATTGCACCTAACCAAAGCTTATACACCACTGGACCTGACCTGTTGTCAGCCATGCCTCTTGCCCATGCTGGGTCACTCCCGTGGTTCCAACACCAAACTTCGTCCCCTGAAGTAAACTGTCTCTTTCGCTTAGCAGAATCTTGTGTCCATCATTGGTGTTCCTGATGCCATTTCACCCTCTTCCCCCCACATGTTTGGGAAGATCAGATTTAACCCGGTGTGGAGTCATCTCCCCATTAATAACTCTGCTGGAGCTATCCCTGTAGTTGCATGAGGGGTCGTCCTGTAATCAAATAGGAACCAGGACACTGTGGTATCTAGTGACGCTGTAGGCTGTTTCTTTAAGCCTGCCTTCAAAGTTTGGACTGCTGTTTCTACCAGACCATTGGATGATGGATGGTACGGAGCTGTACTTATATGTCAAATGCCATACTCAAATTCCCTGCTGGTAAAGGATGGCCCGTTATCTGTGACCAACGCTGCCGGGAGTCCATGCACACAGATTTTCTATTGTTGTCGCTGTGTTTGGCAAATGAACAGCCATTTTGTGTGGGCATCCACAATGACTAAGAACATTGAACCTGTCAAACGGCCTGCATAGTCGCTGTGTAACCGAGTCCGGGGTTTATCCGGCTGTTATTATTACAAGTTCACATCCATAGAAGGTATTGGTGGAACTTCCTGACTCTAAATAGGACTACCAAACCTCCCTTCTGTATCTGGACGTATTTACACTCTGCACCAGCCAAAGTTTGGGTTGCGTACACTATTGGGCATTTCTCTCCACTGGTCCACATATGAGCTAATACCACCCTGATGACATACGGGGAGGCATCACATGTCAATACCAGGTATCATTTGGGATCACAGTGTGCTAACACCTTCAAGAATAATAGCTGTTTCTTCACTTCTCTGAAGGCTGTGCCTTGGCCAAGCGACCATTTCCAAGGCTGACCCTTATTTAAGAGTTGATGCAAAGGTGCCAGGATGGAGTCCATGTTATGTATGAACTTTCCATAATAATTCACCAGCCCAAAGAAAGACCTCAGCTCCAGTACAAACATGGGAGCCGGGGCACCTTTGATCACCCTCACTTTATTTTCCAATTGCTGTAACCTGGTCTTGTGAACTCTGTAGCTCAAGTAAGTCACTTGGGGTGCCCAGAACACACATTCTTCCCGTTTAAGGCATATGGCTGCTTGGGAGAAATGTCTAAGGACTGTGTCCAAGTTCTCTAAGTGCTCCCTATTGATCTTCCCTGTTATTAGCATTTCATCTAGATAAATGGCGACATGGGGTAGACCGTGTAAAGGTTCTCCATCATCCACTGAAAAATGGCACAGGCTGACGATATGGCAGTTTCATATATTGGTACAAAGTCTTATGGGTATTAATTGTTATGTACTTCTGGGAATCCTCATCTAACCGCAATTGCAAGTACACATGGCTCATGTCCAGCTTCGTAAAGGACAGCCACCCTGCCAGCTTTGCATTTAAATCCTCTGAGCAAGGGTTTGGGTATTTATCCAGCTGCAAAGTTAATTTGTTCAAAATCCCCACAAAGGCAAATTGACCCGTCCACGTTCACGATCGGTACGACCAGTGCTGCCCATGCTGCAAACTGGTCTGGTTTGATGATTCCTTCACTTTCCAGCCTCCTGATTCCTGCCTTTACTCTTATCCGTAAGGAAAATGGCACTGGGTAGACCTTGCAAAATCATGGAATAGCTTCCAAGGTGGCCTTGGCTCCTTTAATAACCCCTAGACCTTCCTGAAAAACATCTGGGTATTTAATTAGTTCATTCAGGTAGACATTTTCTAATCGAAAAAAGTTCACCAGTCTAGGTGAATCGCTCCCAACCTATTTCACCCCATCAGCCTTGGGTTTGAGCCTTTTACTATAATCAGTGGTAACTGAACCAACTGCTTTTCATAAGATCGGAATTAATGTTGTACACTTAATGAGTAAAGGTTCCCCGATAAAAGTTATCAGTCTAGCCAAAGTCTTGCACAAACTTAAGGGTTGGAGTCCCGACTGAATTTTGTTAAAGACTGTTTCTGCAATGACTGAAACAGCCGCGCTGATACCGACCTCCATTAGAACCGGGTGACCATTTAACCAGATATTGATTTTGGTTGGTTCTGATTTGGATGTTGCTGAGCAATTTAAATGTTCCAAACCAGATGTAGGTGGACTTACCAGGGTCTGCACTCTTCTGGATACCAGCCGATGAGTTTTCTTACTCAGTTTAGGTCTGGTGGGACTCTTTTGTTGTCTCGAGTCTCTCTACCAGCAACAACTACAATGGTTTATCGACCCAGATCCTGAAGAAAATTTTAACCATTTGTCAGGGGACGGACTTTGTTTTGGGGTTTTGCTGTGGGCTGACCTAGAGTCCCTCTGTTCAGGATATGTCCTGAGTGAGGCAATGCAATTGCCTTCACTGAAGTGGTGTCCCCCAATCTCAGTCAGCCTGGTGAGAGTGTCCACTTCCATCGGAATACCCTGTAACTCATATACTCCACTTGCCACATATTCCAATGATAAAGCCAGTTGTGGTGCCTGTTTGAAATCAACATGAAATCAATTTCATTAAGGGTTAAACCAAAGTCACATGGCACTGCCAGTTCTCGTAATCTCATCAAAAATCCTGATGTAGATTCTCCTGGCTCTCAAATTGCCGAGTAAAAATGATAACGTCTCAGAATTAGAGGAGGCTTGTGTCGTAGTATTCCTTAACTAAATCTGTCAGCTGTTGAAAAGTTTTAGCATCTGGTGCCTCAGGGAAAGTTAGACTCCTAATAGTTGAAAAAGCTGCGGGTCCACAAGCTGTCAGGTGAATTGTTCATTATTTTTCATCTGCTCCAATGTCATTTGCCCGGAAAAAGTAATGCAATCTTTCCACACACTGAGAACAGTCTTCAACAGCAGGGTTGAAAAAGTCAAGCTTCCCAAATAATGGCATAATGCCAGAATGCTTTCCTCAACTCAAAGAGCAAGTTTATTCAGGGCATGCATGCTTCACTGTAGGGTTAGGGTTAGGGTTCGTCACTGAAATAAGTCCACAGAGGCCGTAATCCTGTCATCAAGTCACCCTTTATTTACACGTGGCAAGTTCTTGACTCTGGTGTAGCCTCATCAGAGTTAACTCCCAGAGTGGCAAGGTACTTGACACTTCTGTTTTTATATATCAGTCGGGGCTCCTTGATTGGACCAGATTAACAGCCCCAGTCAGGGAACTCATATTCTATGAGGTTCCAACTGGCTGACCTTGTTACACATTTACTGGACAAAATTCTGTTCATTCTTAAGGTCAAACTTTTGTTAATGGTTTTTTGTTATGCCACAGGTACAAATAGGTTGGTCAGGATTTTAATGGAGAAGTACACATTCCAGGAAAAGAATTACAATGTACATGTCTTCTGTTGTGAGCATTACTGCGCAATTAAAAATCATTGTGACCCTACATAATTGATTGAGAATTTGTTATTGCTTTAGTTAAACTATGTATAACAATCATTGGAGTAAAATAACCAACAATTTGGCTAAAAGGTATTTTGTACTAATCACAGTATTTTGTAGAGGTTCAGAAGAGAAAGACTTGAAAATGTAATGTTTTTTGTGAACTTAATATTTCTGCGCCCAGTCAATCTATGTTTAAGTTAGATTATAATTCAAAGTGGTGGACAACTATTAATAATTTGTCAAAAACCAATAGAACACAATAAGACATACTTGTAACCAGGATCTATTAGTTGCAACACAATGAGATAAAATTAATCTAATTAAAACTCTTTAAATGCTTTTGTCCTACATTGTATATTTTATTATTCAAAGTCCCAACTTGTGAAGTATCAAATGATCTTATTAATAAACATTGACAATCAACAAAGACATTTCTTTGCAAATTAATTTTTAAGGAAGTTTTGAGGTTCCAAATCATTGCCTTTGCTCTTGTTGTGCCTAAATAATAAATATTATAACATCCCTCTAGACTTGCAAATTAAAACCTGAGAGATTATAGGAGGACTGTGAACACTCTAGTCAAGGGTGAGCAATAAATAAAATTACATACTGCCATGGAGCACTAACACATCCAAACTACAATTAGTATTTTGGAATAAACCATTGTGATATAGGTCAAGCATGTTTGAGGTAAGCACCTTGAAAGGAAACATGACATTAATTGTTAGTGAAGAAAATGCTTAGGTGGTCACTTTATATGTTAAATACCAAAAGGGTGAAACAGCTTTAAAAAGTAAATTTACTTTATAAGAGTCATAGAGTTATGCAGCATGGAAACAGACCCTTCTGCCCAATTCGTCCGTTTCCGACTAGATATCCTAAACTGATCTAGTCCCCTTTGCCAGTATTTGGTCTAAACCCTTCCTTTTCATGTACCCATCCAGATGCCTTTTAAAAACCAAAAGAACTGCGAATGCTGTAAATCAGGAACAAAAGCAAAGTTGCTGGAAAAGCTCAGCAGGTCTGGCAGCATCTGTGGAGGAGAAAACAGAGTTAATGTTTCAGGTCCGGTGACCCTTCCTCAGAACTTCCTCCAGACCTGCTGAGCTTTTCCAGATGCCTTTTAAATGTTGTAATTGTACCAGCCTCCATCACCCCCTCTGCCAGCTCGTTCCATACTCGCACCACCCTCTGTGTGAAGAAATTACCCCTCATGTCCCTTTTAAATCTTTCCCCTTCACCCTATGTCCTCTAGTTTTGGACTTCCATACCCTGGGAAAAAAACCTTGGCGATTCACCCTATATATGCCTCTGATGATTTTATAAACCTCTAAGGTCACCCTTCAGCCTCTGACACTCCAGGACAAAAAAGCCCTAGCCTGTTCAGCCTCTCCCTACAACTTAAACCCTCCAAAGATGTAACTTGTTTTGTTGCCCTGAAATAGCATTATCCCACTGCCCACTGACTACCAATTATTTCACATTGTTAGTTGTGTCAAGGCTGTTAATGCCATCTCTCACTGATTTGTGAATATCATCCTCTAGTGGTTGTGCTGTGAATACCACCTTTTAGTCAATCATAACCAGGGGCAGAAATCTCATGGAATTCTGAGCTTCATGATCTCTGGTGAGATGTGTGGCAGAGTCAAATGTGAAGTCCTGTGAGGCACATCTTTGCATCGAGATCATCTTGCCCCATCCTTTATGCTTTTCACAACATTCTTGTCAGGAGAGGCAATTTGCCAAATGATGCCACTTATAAACTTCTTGTTGATGGCCCAACTCACCTTATTAATATTCTGCTTGCAATCTTACCAAACCATCACAAAAATCTAGACACCTGGAAACTCGACATTGGAACCAGAGTGGGTTCCTGGCAGATTCAGCTCACTGCTAGCTCTAAATGACCTCCATGTTGGACACTGGCGCCAACATGTCAGGGCATGCATCAAGGGCACTGGCCCACCTGCACTCCATATCACCAGAGAATGGCATCCAACATGTACCAGCCTCTAAGAATCCTCATGGCACATCTCTGATCCACTTCTGCACTTCAATGCTGCACCAACTACTGTCATTGTAATACTGAGGCAAGGACATTGTAATACTGACTGTGCACTCAGGGATATGCACTCAGCTCCTGGACTGGACCGGACTAGGCTGCATCTTTGGGCTTTTCTCTTGCTGTTGTAGCACTCACTCAGTCCCTGCCTTGCACCATCTTGCCCTTTTTCCCTTTGCCTCCTCAGCCAGAGATACCCGCCTCATATTTTAACTATCTTGTCATGCTGCTAGTGCAGACGGAAAGCCAGGAAGCTTGTTACATTTGTCAGCAGACCTCAGTCAGGTCAAAGGGGGTAGCCCTCGCTCAGGGACTCCCGAGACAAGAGAAACCTCCGAATCTAGTCCAGACCCTGCTCAGGGCAGGTGGAGTCAGGATCCTCTCCAAATAAGGGCCAAGGAGCCAAATGAGCCCAGCACTTGTCTTGAATCTCTCTCCCCTGTTAAGGACTGCTTTCCTCCTGGAATGGGAGAGATAGAGAGGTGAAAGTGGGTGCCACAGCTCTTGGTGTTGCAGTAAGTGGGGAGAATTCCTTAGTAAGTGAAGAATCAGTTCAGAGTGCATGCAGGGTCATTGGTGTCAGAGATTGGGGAGGGTGAAGGAAGATGTTGAAGGAAATAGTGAGAGTGGTATAGCATGAGCCTTGATGGGAGGTGGATACAGTAGCAGAGACAGTAGGAGGTATTGGAGAGAAGATGGTAGCACACCATCAGAGTGGAGAAGATCACTGACCTTTTTCCTACAGTGCTGGGCATTCCTCCAGATGGCTGAGACTGCTTTAGCCTAGGTGGCACCTCACACCAGACCAGCATAGTCAGGTGTCATAATCTCCACTGCTGGAGGAAACCCTACATTGGCTCTACCCCATCCAGTAGAACTTACCCTCAAAGTGGGGCAACAATTTCCCCCCGGCTGCCAAATCCAGGGCAAATGTCGGGAACCAAGCAGGGCAACTCCAGATGCTTGTTTGGATGCACAGTGGGCCTTTATAGGCGCACTGGCACCAGGAATGCAGATCAATTCCGGAATATCCATTGGACGGTGAGTTGTCCCAGGAATGGTGCGTGATATGACAGAGCAGAAAGCAGACATGGTAGTACATGCCGCAGGAGCGGGAAATGCAATAAAAGCTGTGGGTTTGGTAAGATTTACCAAGAAAACCCACTCAATAAGAATCCCTCAGAAACCTCAATGTGACTGGCACTGAGCCAAAGTACTGTAGGAGTCAGCTTCAGATCTTGTTTCCATGGGATAGAATTAAATCATGTGAAACGCTGATCTGTGTAAATGAACATCCTGTTTCTGCATTGTAACATTTTGGTGGAAGAAGGATTCACAGCAAATGTGAGTTACATTGATAATATAAGTCTGTGAGAACCTTTTTAAAATTCCAGTGTAGCATTTACTAAATCCAGTCCCGTAAGTATATGTTCTATTTGGATAAGGTGTGAATGATGATTAAATATGCTGGTCTTCGATGTCACTAATGTTTGCTTACATAATTAATAATCTTCATTCATAGCTGTTATTATAAATACACTGTTGTTTTCAGCCACTTAAAGCTCAATGTGTATGGAACCCTGTCTGCCCATTGGCAAATGAGAATTTTGCTTGGCGTCCTACAACCAATACAGCACCCTGATTTAAATATTTTAAAATAATTCAGGTTATTGTTTTACAGAAATATACAACACTCTCAAAGAACTTGAAAGTCTTTTTTAATCTAGAAATGGGTAAATTAGCCTAGTGCCTATCATGTTTTTTTAAAAAAAACTCGTTCATGGGATAGTAGCATTTTACGTTACTTGTTAACCTTCATCGCCCATTCTCAAGTGTCCTGGAGAGGGTGGTGGTGAACTTCTGCAGTCTTTGAAGTGTAGGTATACCTGCAGTCCTGCGAGGAAAGTAGTTCCAGGATTCTGATCCAGCCAAAGTGAAGGAATGTTAATATATTTCAATGTCAGGGTCGAGTGTGGCCTGGAAGGGAACTTACAGATGATGGTGATCCCATGAATCTGTTGATCTTGACCTTCTAGGTGGCAGAGGTTATGAATTTGGAAAGTGCTGTCAAAGGACCATTGGTGAGTTACTACAGTGCATGGTTATCGACAGTACATATTGCTGTCACTATTCATCGATGGTAAAGGGATTGAATATTGAAAGTGGTGCCAATCAAGTGAGCTGCTCAGTCTGGAATGGTGTTGAGCTTTTTGAGTGTTGTTAGAGCTGCACTTATCCAGGAAGATGAAGGGTATTCCACCACACTCCTGCCTGTACCTTGTAGATGGTAAACAACCTTTGTGGAGGCAGGAGAATGTGAGTTTTTTGCCGCGGAATTCTATTCCTCTCACATCCAATTCCAAAGGGATTAATATCCCAGACATGGTAAATTCAATAAATCTAGCACCTAAAAAAAGGGATTGTCAAATCAGTTGGCTTGTTGTTAAAAAGCTATCTGGCTCAATTAAATCTTTTAACCCCACCTGATCTGACATTTTATTTGTACTGAGAAATGAATTGGTAAGCCAAATTCACAGGAAACACAGCCTGGCAATGTTGAAGGACCCTTGAATGTCTGTTCGAGAGGTTATGAAGGGCAGCCAGTCAGAGTGCCAGACAAACTCGATTCATGTTTTTCTTAACCTGATTCATTCAAGCAATTAGTTATACAGTTCTTTGTGTTTTAGGTGCAGCTCATTTTTTGATCAAAGAACTGTCCTATCATAATTTGGAACTGGAACGTAATCGCCAAGAAGAGCTTGGATCTAAACCCCAAGATGTGTGGCCGTTTATTGTCATTGCTGATGATTCTTGTGTGATGTGGAACAGTCTTAATACTGACGTTTCTAAGAACGCTACCAGGTAGTCAAAGCATTCAAACGTTAAAACCGTCATCCTTGGTGCAGTTGAAAACTGAACAAAATTACAAACTAATGAGGTATTTCTGATTATATCCAGCTTTGTAGTGTAATTAAAACATTGAGTGTTCATACATTGGCCACTCAAGATAACTTGTAATCTTATTCATTTTCAGCAAATAAAGCTGGTTTCAAGTATTACTTCAAACAAAACACTGAAAGTAATGATTTCACCAGTCTATATTAATATATCTATGTACAGATTATTAGATAAACATGAGATGATAGTGAAATTTAAGAATTTCAATCTTTTCCTGAGATTACAATTTAAGCAATGCACATTTCAATACTGCATTTCTAGCTCAGTTTATCTCAAGCACTACTGTAATAAATGAAAGCTTAAGCGCTCTCAAGTAAAACAGTACATTTCAACATTGGATAGGATACAGCCAATTTGCACACGGCAAGATCACAAAAAGAACAATCAAATAAATATTCAGATAATTTTGTGGTGTTAAGGAACAAGGAGTAGAGCTCCTTTCACGCGTTTGAGTAGCGTTTTGGAATATTTATCATCCCTTCATCATTTCAATGTCTCGTCTGAGAAGTTCCAGCTCTTTAATTAATTAGTCAAAAATTCTGACAGCTTTAACACATTACTATAGTTCAGCAATTGATTATTTGAATCAAGAGCATCTCGGTTTCCAAAGAGCCATTTCCCTCTTGCAAATCGGAACACTCTATGTATACACTATAACGCTTTTTGTCTCCTGCTCCCTTTGACTAGCTACTCCTATTATGAATATAGGAACTGACTGAACTTTTTATTTGTCTTTTTTCACTGCCCAGTGCACCTACTGAACCAAATACCTTAGAGAGGAATGTTTCTCTGAAACATGTACTTCAGCATATTGAGGCAACTGCTCAAATTCCACACTATGCCCTTTGTGGGATCCGGAAGTGGTCCAGTAAAATAAACAATCTGCACCTTGCAGAACCTTTCTCCCGCTGTCATCTACATGATTTCTTGCTGCTAAACGTAGACTTGACTCAAAATGTCCAGTACAATCAGAACAGGTGAGTTGATTAATGTTGGCACTTCTGCTTTGTGAGATATTAACACAAATTTATTCCTTAACTATTGTACTTAATGATCAACAATTAATGTCAATTTATTAATGTCAATGGGATTGCTCCCATGAAAGCTGGACTTGTAACATCGTAATTTGGGTTTTGAGCAAATTCAGGAACAGCATTTATTGTTTCAATATAAATTGCAAAAGAAAAGTCATACCACCAGTTAAAGCATCCTTGATTGTGGTTACAGTGTATATAAACAAGCCATCCTATGCTTAAAACTGCTGCTGCAATAGTAGCTACCACTACAGATAAAAACTGACATTCATTAGTGTAAAAACTAATTTAAGCTCAAATGAAGTTCTTTTTCTAATTATTGCAATAACTAATAGAGGAAGTTAATCCATTCAGTATTCATTCGGTTATTATTTAGGTTTCTTATATCGTGGGGACGGTCACCTGGAAGATAAATATTCTTCACGATCTCGTTATATGATCTGAGGGAAATATTATGTCAGATGACTTGGCTTCAGTGTAGCTTTGGGTCCTATTAATCTGAATGTCCTGTGACCAAAACATATTTTGTCTGTGTTAGATTATTGATTTGCATTCCCTAATTCAAGATAATTTGTTTCTGTGGGACATTTCTGCAGGGAATTGCAATAATCCTTATTCTTCTGGAAGTAGAAAGGACAATGAATATGTGTCTGCTTCTTGCTTTTTGCTGAAGCAAACTGTGGTTATATTGACTGCTAAGGTATTAAGTATTAAGTGTACTTATTTTCTTAAAAGCTTTGATGGCTCTCCAATTATCTTAGATTTCAACTGGAAACAAAAAATATTATTGCCAGAGGATGGTTGATTATAATTTAGTTATGAGAAATACAGTTCTTTGACTTTGTACTGAGGATTGCCCGTTCACTGTAAGTATGTCTCAATTTACAAATAGAAAAAATGATAGTTGGCTCTGTGGCACTTGATCAACACACAAGGAGGGAACATTTTAACTTGCTCTGGTTGTTGGCAGTAATGCGATAGACTTGCCATCACCACAGGCCATTTTGGAATGCTTATAATACAGTTCATCACATGAACAATGCGCTTTAGAGCCCACTGACAACTTAGATTGCAGCTCTGCCTCCGAGCCAGTTTCCATGCGGGGACAGAAGCTCTGGGCTCTCAGCTTACTTTCCTTTACTTTGCACTAACTTAGATGAGCACAGCAAGGCTACTTTGCCTTTGTGTGCACTGGTCCCTTGATTCAGAACTTACAGAGACCATAGTAGTTCTGTCTTGCATTGTCTTTCACCACAGACAGAAAGCCAGGTAGCTTGTCAAGTTTGTGCAGCTGGTCATGCTTGCCAGCACTAAATAGACAACAGGGCTGTCAAGAAGGTTGCTAACTTTCTTGCAGCTTTGCTGTGCATTTCCTGGAGTCATGGGCAGTACACTGTCCCAGGTGACTACATCAATCCAGACTGGCAGTGTTTGGTGCTGTGTTCTCCTCTGACAGTCCTGGGGAAAGAGGATGACTGACCTCTCAACCAACTCCATCCATTAGGTCCATTTTTTTTGTGTTGAACAGGTCTCCGGCATCTGAAATGTTGCATCACCGAGTTAAATTTGTTGCCTATGAACAGTCCCAGCGGTGGTGAGCAGTTCTTCCACTGCTGACCACAAGATTGAGTGATGTGGAGGAGAAACGTCACCGGGGCCCTGTGGTTTTGCCACAGAGGGAAACATTCCAAAAAGCTCTTCAAAGTCGACATTTAGCCAAAATATGGGAAAATTCAACCCTATGCTACTTGGTACAGGAACACTGCAGACCCCCACCAGATCTCAATTTGTTCTCTTATATTTTACTATCGTCTAAAATATAGCAACTTAAAGTTAATTGACTGAAACTTAGTGGAATTTTTTTTTGTAATCGTCCTACAAAAGAAATGATTTCCTGTGTTTATGCCTTCTTTCAGATTTACCTGTGATGATGTAGATTTTAACCTCCGAGTCCATAGTGCTGGTCTTCTTATCTGTCGTTTTAATTGCTTCAGTGTTATGAAGAAACAAATTGCCATTGGGGGGCACAGAACCTTCCATATCAAGTCAAAGGTAACAGAAGATGTGACAAAATATGCTATTTTGCAAAACTTTGTTAAGTTGTTCCACCTTGAATATTTGGGAGCGCCAGATGATAGTACGTCAATTATTGCATATCTGTTATTTCTTTTTGCCATTGAATCTATGAATAAATCTTTGCTCCTCTTGGAAAGAATGGCAGTGTTGATGAGTTGAACATTTCATTTCCCAGTGTTGACATCAATGATTCCCAAATTATATACAAAATGGGTTAGACATGGATTGAGAACGCTGTGATCTGTCTCAAGTTGTGCCTTTGTCTAACTTTAATCGGCGTCTCAGTAGATACAATTTTTATTAAAAAAACATTTACTCAATCGTGGCTCATTCATCTAAAATACCACGTTTACTTGAGTAACAGTCAATCTTGCGTAAAAGTCAACTCTTTAATTTATGGCTAGAAGGTCCAGCCTCCGTTTGCTTACCACTAGAGTCACAGAGATATACAGCAAGGAAACAGACCCTGCAATTCAACTCGTCCATGCCAACCAGATGTCCTAAATTAATCTAGTCCCATTTTCCAGCATTTGGCTCATATCACTTTAAATCCCTCCTATTCATATATATATCCAAATGCCTTTTAAATGTTGTTATTGTACCAGCCTCCACCACTTCCTCTGGCAGTTCATCCCATACATGCACCACCCTCTGCGTGAAAAAGTTGCCCCTCAGGTCCCTTTTAAATCTGTCCCCTCTCACCTTAAACTTATGTCCTCTAGTTTTGGACTCCCCTACCCTGGGAAAAAGACCTTGGCTATTCATCCTATTGATGCCCCTCATGTTTTTATAAACCTCTATAAGGTCACCCCTCAGTCTTTGACACTCCAGGGAAAATAGCCCCAGCCTATTCAACCTGTTCCTATAGCTCAAACCCTCCAACCCTCGCAACATCCTTGTAAATCTTTTCTGAACCAACATCTTTCCTATGGCTGGGAGACCAGAACTGAATGCAGTATTCCAAAAGTGCCTTAACCAACGTCCTGAACAGCCACAACATGTCCTCCCAACTCCTCACTCCCTTGATGATAAAATCAACCTCACCCTGTTACAAGCTGAGTCATTCACAGCTCCTTCTGTGTGTACACATACCCTACTGGTGAGTTCTGCATTTCCACCAATGCCATTCTCTGATGTGACAACATGGCATCGAGAAGGAACAGCATACATAGTGCCCAGTTTAAATTTAAAATTATCAAGATTGCGAATAAATGTAGAGAACTTAGCTACAGAATTCAAGTTAGTAGTGAAAAGATATGAGCATTTGAAGGAGGTTTCTTCGCGGCTTAGGCAGATAGTTAAGAATAAATGCACAAACTTAGGGAAGCTGCAGTTGGAGAATTAAGTTACAAAATAGTTCATGAAAATCACCAGAACGGAGGCTCAGTTTCTCGAGCGTCGATCTGAATCTTCATCCTGAAACAAAAAGGTAAATTAGGCATTGCAGCTTTCAAAGCCAGATCGGGATGGAGTAAAACATTTACGAAAAGAAACAAATTTGTACTGCGACAACATTTTCCAGCAGAAGTGGACCACAGGTTCATTGCATTTCATTCATATTTTTTCATTATTCACTGGATAATCATAACTTGCAATCAATATGATACCCAGTTCCATAATTTAGTATCTCATTCAAAGAATATAATTCTTATCATGCCGTTCTTTTTCATGTATATTGTGAAGGAAAAGTCCATATTCATATTGTCCTTTGATTGACAACATTGAATTGATTTGTATTTGTTCCAGGTTCCTGATGTACCAATGTCCATTTCCCCGTCTCAGTATATCTGTGCTCCGGACAGTAAACATACATTTTTAGCTGCACCAGCCCAATTACTCCTGGAAAAGTATCTGCAGCACACAAGTAACCATCTTTTTCCATTGTCTGTAAGGAACTACAGTCATCCAGTACTCTCAGTAGACTGTTATCTCAACTTAGGTCAAGAGGTATGGTGCTAATATTATAAATCTACACACTGTCATTATTTAGTATGATTTGAATGGTCAATCCAGGGGAAGACCATGGTCTTTATGCCTGGAAATGCTCTCCAGCAGTTCAAGAGAGCAAGAGGAGTGTCTCATTGACAAGGTAAGCTCTGAAAGGTTAGGAGGAGAAACTGGGAGAAGATATGGGTTCAAGGTAGCACAGGTTAAACTGGGTGGTGTTTGGCGTGATTGCAAAGGTGAAGGGACGAAGCAACAGAGACAGTTGAAAGAGTAGTCTTGGTCTTACTAATAAAAAGCCTGAGCTCCTGATACTCATTACTGCAGGTGAGGGATGGGAGTGGCAATGGGGCTGTAATGGGAAGGGTTTAAAGAGATGGTTGTCAATACAGAAAATAAGCCAGGAGTTAACTTAGCTGTCCATGGTGATCTTGGATTAGTAGGTGGAGGAGACGAACTCTAGTCCAGTGAATGCTTAAATCAGATATGCTGCAATTCCAGACCCACTTGGACTTGAGGGAGTGAAAATGGGTGCCACATCAAGGAAAAAACTAAGAAGAGGCAGAGTAAAAGTTTTGCCAGGACAGGGGCAAATAAAGTGCGGTTGGAATAAGATAATAATTTATGAGCGGTGAGGATTAGAAGGAAGGAGAAGGCCTTGTCACTGATTGAAACCATGGGAGTATAGAGGCTACAAGAAACAGCAAGGCTACAGCTATGGACCTCAGTATGGATAGGAGAGTTTATATCAAATGAGGTTCGTGGTGGCATGGAGGATAGTTATGGGAGTGAGTAAAGATAGAATTGAGATGTACACCAAGGTCTGAGTTTTTGCTTAAAACAGATTTTGAAGGAAGAATGGGAGGAGGATATTTTGATTAGGAAACACAGGGTAATATTCAGCAGAAAGGATTTTAAAGGTGAGCAAAGCAGGAAAAGGCAGCTGGGAGAGACCAAAGTGAGTCTGAGGATAAGAGGTATTGTGGCATTTGGGTGGGACTGATAGTGAGAAGTACAGCAAGGTGGGGAGGCTTCAGTAAATACCATCTACAAGCTTAGTTTCAATGCAATCATTCACAGTAAGGTTTTTGGTATCAAGAGCCTTGTTTGGGATTGAACAGATAGTCTTCCAATCTACCTAACCTGCACATCTTTGGACTGTGGGAGGAAACCCATGCAGACACAGGGAGAACGTGCAAACTCCACACAGACAGTCACCCGAGGCTGGAATCGAACCTGGGTCTCTGGTGCCATGAGGCAGCAGTGCTAACCACTGAGTCACTGTGCCACACCTGGAATATTTTGTGCAGTTTTGGGCTCCTTTTCTGAGGAAAGATGCTCTTTCTCTCGAGGGAGTGAAGCAAAAGTTTACCAGGCTGATTCCAGAGATGGCGGGACTGACGTATGAGGAGAGATTGACTATGTTGGGATTATTTTCTCTGGAGTTCAGATGAATGAGGGGGGATCCCATTGAGACTTATAAAATTCTAACAGGACTGGGCAGGGTAGATGCAGGGGGGATGTCCCGATGGTGGGTGTGTCCAGAACCAGGGGTCACAGTACTAGGACTCGGGGTAGACCATTTAGGACAGAGATGAGGGAGACATTTCTTCACCCGAAGAATGGTAAGCCTGTGGAATTCATTACCATAGGAAGTGGTTGATGCCAAAACATTGAATGTATTCAATAGGTGACTAGATATAGCGTTTGGGGTGAATGGGATCAAAGGTTAAAGGGGGGAAAGCAGGATTAGCTACTGAGTTGGACAATCAGCCATGATCGTGAAGAATGGTGAAGCAGACTCGATGGGCTGAATGGCCTCCTCCTGCTCCCATCTTCTATGTTTCTTGACGTAAATATTCCGGGGGTGGTGCCTGCAGAGACTTTTAGCAGGTGTGAAGGGGCAGTGATGAATGGAATGAGCTGAATGGGAAGGAGCCAATGAGGATGGCTCCAAGTAACCGTGCTGATAGTTACTGAGGGAAGAGCAAGGGCCAGTTGGCATTGTTGGTTATAGAAAGGCATGAATGGATGCCAGACTTGTGAACCAAGAAAATGCCTCACATTGATGCAAAGTGATTGTATAGAGTCAGCTACAGAAGACCCCATTTTTGAGTACAAAGAATGTGGTAATACAATCAGCTTATCTTCCTTCCTAATCCTTGGCTACATGACAGCAGTGTGCCTTGTGAGAGGAACATGTTCATCTGGTGAGGAATCTATCTTGTTAAGCAGTGCACCATCGGCAATGGTCATCATTCGCTGCTCTGAAGTGACCGTTGTGAGACTAACATAGTGTGAGCGTTGGTAGGACGGCACAATAGTTCTCATTAAATTCTTGCTGTAAAATCACAAACCATCGTCATCAATTGTTTTATGTGCAGGATAGACAATCTTGATGGTTGTTTTGCACATCCTGCTACCGTCAGATTCTGCAGTGTTGTACATAAGTCGCATAAAGTTGATTTCTTTTTAAGTACTGTATTTTAAGGATTTTATTGAAAATCATTACGAGAAAAACAAGATATGTTTAAAACTCTTTGGTGTCTATGATCACTGTAACAGTGCAAAGGAAAACATTTCTTGCAGCAAGATCAGATGCTCCAATTATCATCTCAAACAAAGTTTACAAGCAGCTGAACAGTGGTGATTAAAGGAACCACTGGAAACTGACACCAAAAAGTTTAAATTTATAAAGAATGTGCAGACAGGAGGAACAGGAGTGCCTTTCCTGATTATTTCCATGACTCCCGATCACCTCTCCCGTTTTGATTGATCAATATTGGTCCTGGAATGGGCTCTTCCAAAGCTGCCTTTATACGAATGAGCTTGCTAGAGATGTGCAGCCTAATTTAAACGGGGCCATATTAAGTACATCCTCGGCTCGCCTCTTTAGGTGCAATTGCTCTGCACTCTTGCAGCCTGCCTATATTTAATGTCACTCTTCATTTTATTGGGAGACAGTGTTCAAAGTTGTACTTGTTTTTGCCTGAAATACTTTACTTAATTGTTTTGTTTTAAAGCATTAAAATGTTGTGACATGTACAAACTCATTTTCATTAATATTTCAGATTACAGTTTGCTTTGTGAGTTCACGTCCTCATTCTTTAAATATAAACACCTGTGGCCTTACTTTCAGCGGACTCCTCCTGTATCTCTGTGACTCATTTGTCACATCTAGTATTTTGAAAAAATTTCACTTTCTGAAAGGTAAGGTTATGTTTTATTCAATGTTTCTATTCTGATCTTTCTGCTTTGAAAAGTAAGAGTATTTTTTTCCCTTGTCATTCATTATTTTTTTAAAAATGGACTTTCACAAATCTTGGTGGGAATTTTAATCACAAATCACAGGTAGATGTTAACATTTTAAATATCTCAAACTGTGCATATGTGTGTGTGTGGGGGGTTTCCTGGTTATTGGAAAACCTAACAGGTAAAGGAAAATGTGGATTATCTAGTGGAAGAGTAGATGCCTTTATGGGTTGTCAATGAGAAGAAGCTGGAGTGTTTCCTCCTGTCAACAGCCCCCAATCATTACATTCATGTTCTAACTTACACTCCAGATTAGCAGCCATCACCAACTCTTGCCTGTGAATAATGGAACCGCACAGCCTTTGCCCCAGGATTTGGAAATCTCCATCTTGTCAGTAATCTAGCTGCAGGCTCCCTACCTGAAGATCAAAAGAAATTGCATGGAGCAGAAATGGACCAGCCACACACATAGACTACAGCCGACAATTGAAACCGCATTTGAAATTTTGCAAACAGGAATCAACTGACACAGAGGTACTGCAGGCAAAAAAAAATTGGATTAAAGCAAGAAGTTTAGCTAGTCATTGCAGGATTAGATTGAAGTGCAGCTGCAGCAGGTCACCTGTTCCTGATCTAAGCACAAGATCTGATTAGAACATAGAACTGTACAGTACAGGAATAGGCCCTTCAGCCCATGATATTGTGCTGAACATGATGCCAAATTAAACTAGTCCCTTCTGCCTGCCCGTGCTCTATATCCCTCCATTCCTTGCATAAAGTTTATGGCTTTAGTCTTGCAAATGACTCACGATCTTGATATATGCCTTAATGAATGCAGCCTTGGACATTTTTAAACCAACTTTTTTTCAATTGATTGCCTATACTGACTTCACAAGTTTATTGTCTAGGTGCTACGCTCTGTGTGATTTGTCAGGATCGTAGCTCTCTTCGTCAAACTGTTGTAAGACTAGAGCTGGAAGATGAGTGGCAGTTCAGATTACGAGATGAATTCCAGACGGCTAACTCCCAAGAAGACAAGCCACTCTTTTTTCTGACTGGGCGACATGTCTGAGACACGAAAATTTCCCAGTAACACAGACTGCAAAACCGAGCACTCCATAAGTAACACAGAATTTACTTTGAGCCATGAACATATTCACGTGTTTAAAACAGTGTTGTAAAAAAAAATGAATGGTACCAAATTAATTACATGTAAAGACTGATATACATCAAGAGCAATTTCCTGTAAACGTTCCTCAATTTTATGCACTGCCTTAACATATACTTTAAAATGGAATTTTTGAAGTGTCTTTACTTGCCTGAACAATAGACAGAAGTGTAAGCTTTAATGTTTTGTGTAGTTTAGAGTCAATGATTTTGTATTTGATCCAATTTGAAACATCCTGGTTTGAATCACCATTCTGCTGTTTTGAATGATATCAGAAAGTGTCCCCACCTCACTAGACATTGTGGTAGTTGGTGGCAAATCTGCACTTTAGAACCTTTGACTGTGAGAAGTATGATGAGGGACTGAACTCTTAAGTAGCCCCTTGCAGGTAATGGATTGATTTATAATTAGGCATTGTGAAACTGCTGACCTGATGAAAACCAATGGGGTTTTAAATACTTCGATGGCTGAAATACCTTTCCTGTTCCCAAAATCAAAGTCTTTCTTTTGGAGTAAGGATGGAGGTTAAATAAATTTATCGGAAGTTTACATACATTGACATATTTGGTTAATCCACTGCATCCTTTAGGATTGAACATTGATTCATTGATATTTTTGCAATAATTTTGCATACTTTGAAAATATGGAGAGCCAGGGGACTCAGTCTAGAAGGATGGACCATAGAATCATGCTTTTACCATCTCTACAATTTGTCTGCTGGATATGGGATGGATAGGGGATGAAGAGAGGGGCTTGTATGGTGAGAAATATACATCCACTTGTTCCTGCTTGTCTCTTATTAATTTTCCAAGATCCTAGCCTAGTCCAAAAGATTTTAGATAATCTGGCTCCAAAATCTAAACTGATGAATATTTTATACCTTGATTGAACTAACATGAAAAACATTCTAAACCTTGTTTTAATTTCCTTTCACATTGAAGACAGTAACATTTCTATACTGAAGTGTCGATATTGCTAACATTTGGGAAACCTTAAATAGAAAAGTTAAGAATCACTCTAAAAGCTGACAGGAAGATTTTGTAATGTAATAACAAGTTGGGAAAACTTTTCCATTCTTTTTGGAAAATAAACCAAATAACTAAAATATATTTTTCGGGGTAAAGGTTTAAATTGCTGTTTAAAGGCATGCGGCATAATTATTCTCTGCAATTCACCAATTGAAGGACAACTGATACACACATGAAATGTTTGAGCATTTTATGTAAGACTTAAATATCAGAATTCATCTCAATATTGGAAGGACTTGTGTCATGTCATGGAGTTGAATGTCTTTTGATCTCACCTCATTTGGAAGTCAGTGATAATCGGAACAATAAGCACTATAAAACCAATTGTGACTGAATGATAAGATTGTCATGTATTGCTCAGAGTGTAATCTATTGCATAAAATATGGGAACAAATTCTAGCTCTCAACTGACAAGAGGTCAGTCAAGTCGTTAAAATAGCTGTAGAGTACTCGTTCTGTGCCAAAACACTGCCATTTTAACCTCAGTTTTTGGAGGTGGCTGAGGCATCAACTGTAGTCAGTGGGGGCTTTGTGAATCTGTCAAAATTGAGGCAGTGTGATAATTTTTAACTAAATTGTCATGGCCGACACTGAGCCTGGCAGTAAGCAGATCTGGGACTGGAAAGGGAAGGAGTCCTCCTTTGAGCTCCATCTTTGGCCTCCCTTGCTTCAGGCTTTCCTCCCTCAGACTTTGGTGCCATTCCGAACTCATCCTCCCAAATACTTTGGTGAGAGCTAGGGACCATTTCTCAGATCCTCACTTGCATCCTCCTGTTGGTTCAAATCCCGATCTGGTCTGCCAGCCAGTGCTTCCAGCTGGCTTTGAGTCAAAGACAAACCTGGAATTGTGAAAAAGGGCCTGGCATTGAACATTTCTCAGGCCTCACACAGTGAGGGAGCTGTGTGGTTTCCCATCTGTCCCTTCCTCATATTCAGCAGCCGAGTTCCAACTCAACTCAAACTCTAACCTTATGTTTTCTTCCAGCCTGTCGTTATGTCTGTGGTTACTTTTCGTTACAGATTGGTAGGCTCCACTTTGTAGCTTCTCATCCTCGAGGTGGCAGTGAAGTGACATTGTGCTTGAGTGTGGAAATCTCCAGCGTATTTCTCCAACGTCAAAAACCTTTTCCATTCTGTGCCATTTAAATCCATTTTAACCATTTATATCTTTGATTCCCAAAAAAAACTATGAAATATGGTACCTGTCAAATCTTTATGAAAACTCAACTCCAACACTCAAATTTTATGCAACAATGTTTTAATTTTGGTTTGACATCACTCCACTTAGATGTCTCTAAACATGGTACATTTGAGGTACAAACATTAATGTTGACATAGAATTATTAGCTAATATTAAAGGAGGCATTGATACAATATATTGTTTTTCCTACGAGCCCTTGACCTTAAATAACATAATGTGTCACACCTTACTTTGATATTTGATATAGAATTTATATCCAATTTTTTGCTTTTTTCCCTCTGTTCCTTTTGTGAGTTATCAGCTCTTTGCTAGAATTGGTTCTAAGTGTGATATACCTGTCTGGTATTTAATTTCAAGTACAGTACTTGTTTTTCTGACTTCATGTCACCCTCAACCAGATAATAAGGCCAATCAAATAATTCCACTTCAGATGTTTTCAGCTGACAGCACAGATTAGCAATCTAAACTGGTCCTGTCCTAGTCTGAGTGCCTAATTTCGCTTTTCAGGTTAGCAAACAGATGGACCTGTTTCCATCTATAACTTTTGTTTGAATTCATTGAATAGGTAAATATTTCATGAACCTGTATCCCAAGTATAAATAGGTGCCTGCAAAACATTTTTCATTTAATAGCTTAATTTAACAGTATGGTATGTGAGCACACAACAGCATTCACACAGAATTCACACTGTGATTCCAAGTTGAGATTATGATGCACACTTCCAATGGTGAATGGAGATAATTAATTCAGTTTAAATTTGATCTAAGTGTGGGCAGAATAAACATTGATATTTTACATAATGTTACAAAAGTAGTTTTGTTTACATTTTCAAAACTACAGTAAATGACAATTAAAAATAGTTTTTTTTTCTTAAAAAGATGAACATTTTAACGATTACAAAGTCAACTAACTTAATTATGAAGAAGACTATTTGCAGCTCTTTGCTCACCCCCATTAAGCTCAATATCTATAAAATTTAAATCCTTTTCCCCCAGAAAATATTGAATTCCTACCCAAACGTCTGTACTGTAACAGTCTATGAGACATTTTAAAGATTGTTACAAAACAAAGAACTGTGGATGCTAGAAATCTAGAACAAAAATAAAAATTGCTGGAGAAACTCAGCAGGTCTGGCAGCATTGGCGCAGAAAAAGCAAACTTAACGTTTTGAGTGTAGTGACACTTCTTCACAACCATCATTAACAAGACAAAATATTTTTTAGATGCATGAAGGAGCAGTTTGCATTCATGTGACTAACTTTAAAACAAACAGTAAGACCAGAATAAATAGCAGAAAGTGCTGGAATTACTCAGAAGGCCAAGCAGCAGCTGTGGAGGAAGGAAAACAGATATAACATTTCAAACCAAAGACCTTTCATCCGAATTGAAGCAGTTTCATTGATCAGAAACATTATTTTTCTTTTTTCTCTCCCCACAGATACTGCCAGACCTGCATTACCTCCAGCATTTGCTGTTTTTAGTTTCTGATTTCCTTGTGCAGAATGGTAATAATGTGTTTGATGGAGCGTAATGCCTCCTAACACCCAGGTACTTGTAGCATTAAATTAGAAAAGCACTTCAATATACCGAAAGGAAAACAATCACTGCTTTCAAAATCAAGAGACATTAAATGATAGTGAGGACATAATTTGACAGTAGAAACCCTGAATTCAAAAGATTACCTCAATACAACTCTCAAGAATAAAATCTAATAATATGTTTTTCTTACCGTGTATTCTAATCCTGAGTGGGTCACAACGTTCACTATTGAAATCAGTTGAATGCTCCAATATCTAGCTTTGCCAAGAGGGAAACTCATTCAAAATAAGACATTTATCTGCATTTCTAGTTATGTCTGTAGATGATACTGTACTGTCAGGTGTGGGTGTTCTGTGTTTAAGACCTTGTCATGCAGCAAATTGCAAAGCTTCAACGTTGCTATGTCCTGACCCTGAAAGCAGATATGCAGTTGCAGTGTAAAGGCTCCAGGTGGCAGTATAGCAATGTTGTAGACCTTAACATGGAATCCCAATCCAGGCCCAGAGTTCCTTTTGCATTTTTAAATTAAAGTAAAATTTTGTTGAGCAAAAGCACAATACCTAAATGGAAACCTTGATTTGCTGAACTTCAAACATAATGCGTCGTGATAAGGCAAGCAAACTGCGTCCACCAATAGCTGCAATTTCTCAATTTCTAGCAATCATCACAGATTGGCTGGAATGTAGCCTTCAGCTTCCCATCCTTCCCAACCTTTAATTGGTTCGTAAACAGGAAATTATGGAGATGTATATTCTGAGGGAGGGAGACTGCAACAACTGATGTATTGGAATGGAATAAGTAATGGAATAGAAATTGCAGTCTGAGTGCAGTACTGGCATACTTCACTTCTTATGGTCACATTGCTCTACTTCATTCTCTCTTGCTCATGAAACAATGAAGGCACAAATGTTCACTGGAACCTGACACACATGCCCACAGACCATTATTACTGTGTGGAATGAAAGAAAATTTGGTTCCTAATAATTGAAATGAAAACCTCCTAAGTGTGCCAACACTAGTCATAACCTTAACAAAAACCGAAAGAACTGCAGATGCTATAAATCAGGATCAAACACAGAAGTTGCTGGAAAAGCTCAGCAGGTCTGGCAGCATCTGTGAAGAAAATATCAGAGTTAACGTTCCAGGTCCAGTGACCCTTCCTCAGAACTGATGGTCGCTGGGAAAATGTCAGTTTATATGCAGAAAATAGGGAGGGGGATGGGATAGGGAGTAAACGATATGATAGAGCCCAAAGAGCTCATAATCGTAACCTTGATGAATATTAAGCCAGAGGTAGGGCACTTTGTCACTGAGCGTGAGTCCTGTGAAACATAATCCCTGCCTATTGCAGCAGATTCCTATCCTTAAAGTGGGGCAGTACACTGGCTCAGCGACAAAAACAGAAGTTGCTGGCAAAGCTCAGCAGGTCTGGCAGCATCTGTGAAGAAAAATCAGAGTTAACGTTTCAGGTCCAGTGACCTTTCCTCAGTACAGTGGCTCAGTGGTTAGCACTGCTGCCTCACTGCCAGGCACCCGGGTTTGATTCCACCCTTGGTTGACTGTCTGGGTAGAGTTTGCACATGCTCCCCGTGTCTGCGTGAGTTTCCTCTGGATGCTCTGGTTTCCTCCCACAGTCCAAAGATGTGCAGGCCAGGTGGATTGGCCATGTAAAGTGGAGGGTATAGGGTAGGGAGTGGGAAGCTCTTCCGAAGATGGTGAGTTCAATGGACCGAATGGCCTGCTTCCAAACTGTAGGAATTCTATGATAAAGTCTTCCTGCATATTGTGCCCCCAAAATCCACCCTTCACAGTGCCCACATATCCCAGTCCCTTTGTTATCAGTTTCTCTAGTGCCAAGTTCCTCTTTTTCCATACCCCATTGTCAGTCCCTTCCTTCTACTTCCCTCATTGCTCCTCATCCCATCCCAATCCTTTCTCTCATGTTTCTCCTTTATCCCTCTCCGATCATTCTCTTCATACTTCTCTGCTGTCCCATATTGCTCTTACTTTTCCAATCAGCTCCTTCCTGCCATTCCTCCCCCTGTTTCCTGTCCTAGGGAAATGGTCACACCCTGACCATTTAATCCTGATGGTATGTGGAACTCTATTACTTACTTACAAACATTTCAAACTCTCAGAGTAACATCAAAATTCCATGATGAATGTACACATTCTGTCATTTTTTTCAATGAAAATAAAATCATTTTATTTTCCTTTTTTGAACAATATATTCTGCTACACAACATCACAAGTCTATTTACAACACAAACATCAAACTCCAACTGAGAGGAAATTAGGTGAAATTCAGCATTTCTCTGCTTACTTTATTGTTAATATACTCATTAATATGTGGTGAAGTAGATTTAGTTGTAAAGTAATTTGAGTGTAATGTTGCTACGGTATTCTGTATTATCACAATAATGATTTCCAGCATCACAGTTCATACCATATGACATTGTCGAGGACTTTGATATTACCTGCTGTTGTTTTCGGTCTTATTATGTAGCGTTTGCTGTAATATTGACAAGACTGCCAACAAATTCCACATGTGTATTCATATTCTTTGACCCTAACTAAGGGGCCTAATCACACAAATGTGCAAAAAAAACTTCAAAGAGTTTAGAAGCCTGTCAATATATCTCTTCTCATCTCCTCTCACTCCTCTTCCCATCCTCATCCTCTTTCCTATTCCCAGTTCCCTCTTCCTCTTTCTCTTTAAACACAATTTCTGTTTCTCCGTGGTGTCCTCTCCATCCACTATACCCTCACTGATGCAGAAGCACAGAGGCAGCATGTCCAACATTCACCCAAGAAATGAGACTTAGGTTTGTGCTGAAATAGAAAAGGTCTGCTCAAAATCTGTTTGGATTTCCGGTGAGTAACAGAGAGTGTATGACATCTCAGTCAAAGTAGCCACTCAATGGCCTAAGCCATCTTCAGCACTATTAACATTAGATCATTGAATTGCAAGTTCTTTGCTAGTGCTTGTGGTTAGCTTGCCAGGAGATCTTAGAATTTCTGAGGAGCACAATATCCCCTTCAGGGGATGGAAGTAGTAGTGGACTGGAAGGTTTTGTGAAAGCAACTGTGTTCCAACTGGTCCCACAAAAGTAATTTTTAAAAAGCCTCCTCACTTACAACAATCCCTTTAAGTGCTACTGGTTAATCCATTCAAAACTGGTGCAAGTGTAGCTGACAGTATCTAATTATATTTTGATCCTTTTTATATCATAAGATCTGAGAGAAGACTTGACTGAGGCTTGATCCTAAAATGGGTGGGCATCTGGAAAACCCATACAAAGATCTACGGCAAATGGAAACAGGTGGAAGCATGGCCGAGGAATTTTTAGGCATTCCTGTCCTATCCCCACCAGGTTCAAATGGCTTAACATTGCCCCCAAGGTAATATTAAGTAAATTATTGAGACCAACAAAGTTTGAAGACTGAGCTTGTATGTACAGATTTCCCCTATCCTCACCCTTATGATCTTGGCACTGAGTCTATCATTGTGAGGCATAAGGACCTGATTCTATTTCATTGTTATTTGTGATTTGCAGAATGTGAACAACTCCCTATTTTAATTAAGGGTGTTTGATTATTACATTGCTCAAATGATACCCACTGTTCATGAGGATAGATCTTATCCAATTAATCTATAGCAAAATCGTCTTGAAATACTTTCTGGGTAGCTTTTTAAGTATTTTATTTTATCAGCTGATTTCATGAATACTTGCTGCATGAGCCACTCTCTAACCTCCAACGACCAGATTTAGTGTTGAATTTGGCAGATTCTCTTGCACAGTGCAACATTTTGTCTGAATAGTTTCACAAACAATATATATTTTTGTACAGTAGGCATATACAAGTTTATTAGCATATTGCAATATCTTACAAAATTATTGTTCCATGGTTTCATAGCCTTTTACTAAACATTAGAGCAGAAACTTTTTGTGTACATTATTTATACAATTATTTCCTTTGTTAGGACATTTAAATGGACCTTGTGCTCTTTGGTACTTTTATATTTGACACTGGAATTAATGTATTTGCGAAGCATGTTTTGTACTTGTACTTTAATTGGCACTTATGTGTGCTTGTGTAGAAGTAATTGAAGTCATTTATATATTAGAATTCTGTAAGGTAATATTTTGAACAAAATAAAAGAACTGGTGATAACAAATCCAAAGTATGATGCACAAATGTGCTAGCGAAGAAATCAGAGGTATGTTTCAGGCTAGTTAATATATACAAACTGTTAGCTAAATTTAAATGATTTTAAGTAAAGTGTAATTAGTGACTGCTCATATCAAGTGATATATAAAACTAACTTAGAAGCTGTTCGAATTACTTTTCATAAAAGTTCACCGCAAAGAGGGGACATCTAACCTCAATTTGAAAGAGATAATTAGCCTCATTCCCCTGCTGTTACACCTTTGCCCTGCAATTTTATCCATTTCAAGTATATATTCAGTTCACTTTTGGAAGTTAATACCCAAAATTATCTTCCATCAACCAGTGCATTGCAAACCATAACAACTTACTTTGCAAAGAATAGACCTCAATAACTCTTGTAAATCTCACCTTAAACAGTTCAGATCTAACTACAATCCACCTTCTCTAATATCTCCACTACTGGTAAGGTTCCTTCCTTGTTATCTGATAAACAGCTTTGACATCCTTCCTAAAGTATAATTGGACGCAACTAATTATAAATGGAAGAAAATTGAGCTGCTGATTCTCGATAAGCCTGTTCTATACTATATGCAAGAAACACAATTCACTTCCATAAAATTTGGAGGTGCAAGATGAACAAAGTACACTAAGGTCATTTTTGGCTTCCTCAGGGTCAGGTATATGATCATTGCAACATTAAAGTAGCCATGCCCATTAAACAGCTAACTAAATGGAACATACACAGATATTGAAATCAAATTTTAGAAGAGATATGTTCTCTTGTTTCTATTTTATATAAGTGTAGGCCAGTGGTTAAAATAACATTCAACTCTAGGTGTAAATGACATTTCTTTGGAGTGCGTCGCAACTTTGAAATGTATAATTAATCTTAAAGTGGCAAACTAACATTTCACCAGTTGACTGGCACATGAATCCACTTAGCAACAAATACTGACAGACAGCAAGACAGTGAAAAACAAATCAAGTCAATTAGTTTACAGTAAATTGGAATAGTCTTGTTCATGCTCAGAGTGAATGAAGAGGAACGTTTTCTTCTGTTACAAAGGTTTTCCAGGTAGTATTTCACAATCTAGTTAAACTGAACAAAACTGTTTAGGTGATCTTCTGTAAATTAAGAATAGAAGCAATGACAACTTCATTATATCTTTGGAAATTTTATTTTGTTTTCATATTATGGACAAAAGCTTGAAATTTCTTTTCTTGCGTTTACAGTTTCCAGCTCTGTGGGTATGTGCAAAAGTCCATGCATTGTAATTGTGAAATCTTAAGTGTGCAAATGAACTGTATTGTTTGTAATTTTTTTTTGAAATTTTGTTGTGGACGAATAAAACTGTTTGTGTTTCAGTGGTTTCCTTGGGGTTGGTACATAATTAAAAATGATTGGACCTACCCCACTATTTATCCTCATTTCATGGTTTCTCATTATACTTGTATGAAAGTGTTATTATGGAAACTGCAAAATATCCAGCAAATCTTGAATATTAAAACCACATTATTCGAGAAACCTTTTGACATGGAGTATTTTCGGCTTTCACCCAGGTTTCAGAAACATGTTAGCTTATTCCCAGATGGAAAATGATTCTGGAACAAAAACAGAAGTTGCTGGAAGAGCTCAGCAGGTTTGGCAGCATCCGTGAAGAAAAAAATCAGAGTTAGCGTTTCGGTTCCGGTGATCCTTCCTCAGAATGTTCCTGATCTACAGCATCCGCAGTTCTTTCAGTTTCAAAAATGAGTATATGTTTGTATAAAAGGGGAGGAAACACATTCCAAATGTTTGCATAATTATGTTAATCTGGGTTGATGCCCCAATTGTAATTTCTCCTAAATTTCAAACATGTCAAATGAGCAAAAGTTGGCTGATAATTTCAAAAATTGCAATGGTATGACCATAAAAAAGGAGTATAATGTGGGAAAAAGTAAAGTTATTAATCTT